CTGTGCACTGCAAATGGATGTCGATTGAGAGGATGACATGTGGCCATGGTCTCACTCAGTGCACCTTTATCTTCACACAATGATGCCAACAGGGCAGCAAGCCGTGCATCCACCATATGAACTGCCCAGAAGGGACATCCTGATAACAGTGCCTCAAGTGGGTGCCTCTAGCCGCTGTACTATCCCGAGCCTCATTGCTTCTAGCCTGGACTATAGTAACAGCATCCCTATAAAATGTGTCCACAAATCCTTCACATTTCTCCCTTCAAAAGATGGAACCCGGGGCTTCCCTGGTGGCGCAGTGGTTGAGAGTCCGCCTGCTGATGCAGGGGACGCGGGTTCATGCCCCGGTCCGGGAAGATCCCACATGCCACGGAGCGGCTGGGCCCGTGAGCCATGGCCGCTGAGCCTGCGCGTCCGGAGCCTGTGCTCCGCAACAGGAGAGGCCACAACAGTGAGAGGCCCGCGTACCGCAAAAAAAAAAAAAAAAGATTCCACTGCCTTCCAATGTAGACGGGACTCAGTGACAGTCTCATTTCTGCTGAATAGAAAACAGAGGAAGTGACGATATGTGACCAGGTCATTAAGTCATCATTACGCTTTAGTAATGATATCTCCTAGATGCCTGGCTCTAGAGGAGGTCAGTCGCCATGCCATGGAACCCCTCAAGCTGACGCTATGGATTGGTCTAAGAGACATGGAACCGATGCCTCTGGTAAGTAGTGGGCAAGGACCTGAAACCTCCCGACAGAGACCACACGAGTCTTCTTAAAATGGATCCTCCAGGCCCAGTCAACATCTTGACTGCAACCTCATGAGAGACTCTGAACTAGACCCACCCAGCTAAGCCGCTCAGGACTTTCTGACCCACAAAAACCATGAGATAATAAATGTTTGCTGTTTTAAGTTACAGCGAGTTTTGGGGGTAATTTGCTGTGAGCAATAAGTGTCTAACACAAGATCTATCTCCCTCTCACACCTCAAGCTCACCCTTTCTTCTAGGTCAAACCACAATCTCCACCAAGGTAGCAGTAAGCCCATTCCCCAACTGGTCTCATCATATATTTACCCCCTCTATCCAATCCATTAATGCCTAAGTGATCATTTTAAAGTAGAACTCTGATCCGACTAATTCCGTATTTACACTGAAAGTGGCCCCCCATTCCTTATAATATACAGTTTACAATGTCTAACAAGGGCCCTTATGACCTGGCTTTTACCTTCTCCAGCCGCTCAGTTATCGCTCTCCAACCACACGTGATGCCAGGTGTGTCCTACTTCCTGGCTATATTAGCTTACTAGGGCTGCTATAACAAAGTAACACAGACAGCATGATTTAAACAGTAGGAATTTATTTGCTCACAGTTCTGGAGGCTAGAAGTCCAAGATCAAGGTGTTGACAAGGTTGGTTTGTCCTGAGGCCTCTCTCCTTGGCTGACAGATGGCCATCTTCTCCCTGTGTCCTCACACAGTCTACTCCGTGCCTTCAGATCACTGGCGTCTCTCTGTTTGTCCAGATTTTCTCTTCTTATAAAGACTCCCATGACTGGATTAGGACTCACCCTAAGGGCCTCTTTTTAACTCAATCCCTCTTTAAATACCTTATCTCCAAATACAGTCACATTCTGAGGTACTGGAGGTTAGGGCTTCAACATATGAATTTGGGGGGACACAATTCAACTCATAACAATGACTTTCACTCTGTCTCCTCTGTTGGAAATGGCTTTGCTATCGGGGGCAGTGAATACGGATACAGAGTACGCAGTGAGGGAAGAGGAATGGGTGGGGAAAATTAGGAGAGGAAACACCGACAGTAGGAGACATGGAGATCAATAGATCTCAGGTAAATACTGCCTACCTCACAAATTTACCAAAAAAAATTTATTCAAGCATGGATAGTTTCTATCCTCAATTGCAGAAAAGGGTTTGATATCACAATCTCAAGGGAAAATGAAACAACAGAACATAAAACACGCAGGGAAGCAGCTTCTCCTACCAGAACGGGATTACAGCACAGAGGTCAGAACGTTAGGCCATAAGCCTGAGAAATGAAACACGAAATACCACACAAAATATATAAATACATACTTTCATGGTCAGTGTCAAATTCAAATTGGCTTTGGTGAAGTAAGTCTGCTGAAATGACTTAAGAAGACAGAAAGGAGAATTTTGCACACTTCCAAAGAGAAAATCGAAATGCAAGTGGATGTTAACTATTAACAAACAGACAAACAAATAAATGTAATTTAGTGTTTCAGGGGTATTTCTCACCTCTTAATCAACTGATATTCTGGAAAGAAAACTAATTCAAATATGCCTGCCTGCTCAGGCATAAACAAAAACAAGTCCTTATATGTATTAACCTTGAACTACAAACACTACTCAACTAATGAAAATAAATGCATGTCATTATTCTCACTAATAGCAAATGCATGTTGCTGCCCAAAAGTTACTCATCAGTGCTCTTATTTTCATCAATGTTTGCTAATATCTAAGCACGGATCACAGCAATTATACTACACCTGACACTGGAATAAATCTTAACAGCCTACAAGGTGCTTTCACATACATTACGTCTATAAAAGCTCACAATAGATGGGAAAAACCCTGTGGCTTCAATGCACACATTAGCACAAGAGATAAGAGCTCAAAAATATTCATATAAAACTGGGAGTCAGAAAGTTCAAATAACTTGCCCAAAGTGACACGGATGATAATCAGTGGAACCAATACTTGAGGCTCACGTTTTAAATTTTAAACTCGGTGTGATTTTCTACTCCTCTAAACAGGAGTTCATTCATACATTCCTACAACTGCATGCCAGGCTTTCTAGGTGCTGTGGCCACACAGATGCACAAGGGTCAGTCCCTGCCCTCCATCTCATTAGAATCTAGAAGGGAAAGGCAGACATGTAAATAAGAAAATGTAACCAAGTGTCAAGAAGCTTTGACGTAAGGATACGGAAGGAGCACGAGAGAGTAGACATTTCTCCCCGAAGAATGGTGAAGGGGTGAGGAATGTCTTCATAAAAGGAGAGTTTCAGATGAGTAGATAATCATCAAATGATGACAGAGGATATATTACCAAAGGCATATATGTGTGAAACAGATTGACTATTCTTTTCACTGAACACCACAAGTAATTTGATACACCTAGAGCATAGGGTATGCAGAGATGGGAGGGACAGCAAGACGTAAGGCCTGAGAGGGAGGCAAGGACTTGGTTATGTGTAGCCTTATTTCAAGCATGGGCATAATTTGTATTGATAGGTACTGTAACAGTGATTTAGAGGTTGGAGGATGGATCACCGGGCTGTAAGACAGGAGGAAGGTACATCAGTTAGGCCTATTTCTCTAGAGAAGGCAAAAGATAATGAGCTAAGCAAAGGAAGCAGTGGAAAAAAAGGAAGGAAATTCAGCTGTAAGAACTTAAAATGTGCTGATCATTCAGTGGTGAGATAGGATGATACAGGACCCATTTTCACCAAGGTAGAAAAGTAAGGAGGAAAAGCAGATGATAAATTGAACTTTGAACAAGTTGAGTTTAAGATGCCTGTGGAATGCTAGTAATCAATTTCTGGTAGGTAGTTTAACATAATAATAAGAACTTAAGGGAGAGATGGGTAAAGATTTGAGTCACGCTGAAAATGTGGGAGTAGATGAGATTGCCCAGAGAGGATGTAGAGAACCAGCAGAGAAGGAGGCTAAGAACAGAGCTCCAGGGAGATGAAACATGCAAAATACATGTAAAGATAGCAGCACTATTTACAATAGCCAAGGCATGGAAGCAACCTAAGTGTCCATCAACAGATGAATGGATACAGAAGATGTGGTATATATCTATATCTATATATATTGATATATATAAAAGTAGATATAGAATAGATATATATAATGGAATATTAGCCATAAAAAGAATCAAATAATGCCATTTGCAGCAACACAGATGGACTTGGAGATTATCATGCCAGGTGAAGTAAGTTAGACAGAGAAAGACAAACTGTTGTATGTTATCACTTATATGTGGGATCTAAGATATGATACAAATGAACTTATTTACAAAACAGAAACAGACTCACAGGCATGGAAAACAGACTTATGGTTGCCAAAGGGGAAGGGGGTGAGGGAGATAAACTGGGAGTATCGTATTAACGGATACACACTACCATATACAAAATAGATGAACAATAGGATTTTCTGTATAGCACAGGGAACTATATTCAATATCTTGTAATAAACTATAATGGAAAAGAATGTTTTAAAAAAGAATATAGATATATGTATACATATGTATAACCAAATTATTTTGCTATACACCTGAAACTACTACAATATTGTAAATCAGCTATACTTCAATTTAGAAACATTGTCACAGAGTGCCAGGCATGACCCAAAGGAACACCTTGGAGAAGGGGGTTCTGAGCTGCGCTAGTTCTAAACTACTTGCAAACTGCCTTTGGAAAGATCTTATAACATTTTATTTAAAAATTATAATTATTCAAAAAATAAAACCATATTTCAATTTAAAAAATGAACAAAATACATGTAAGGAAGAGAAGTAAAGGGCAGAAAGAAAAAAAGTCAGAGAGGAGGAGAGTCAAGAGAGAGTCACATCTCAGAAGCCCTGGGATTAGAAAATGTCTATGTCAAATGCTTGAAATAAGATGGGAACTTTAAAAAGTCGGTTGGACTCGGCACTTTGGAGGTCAATAGAAATTACCACAGCAATCTTACTCGATGATCAAGGTGCTGACTATAATAAGTTTAAGAGTGATTAAAAGGGGCCTCCCTGGTGGCGCAGTGGTTGAGAGTCCACCTGCCGATGCAGGGGACACGTGTTCGTGCCCCGGTCCGGGAAGATCCCACATGCTGCGGAGCGGCTGAGCCCGTGAGCCATGGCCGCTGAGCCTGCGCATCCGGAGCCTGTGCTCCGCAACGGGAGAGGCCACAACAGCGAGAGGCCTGCATACCGCAAAAAAAAAAAAAAAAAAAAAAGAGTGATTAAAAGGAGAAGAGATGAAGACAAGTAAAGGCTATTCCTCCAAGAAGTTTATCAGAAAAATTAGAAGACAGAGAAGACTGGTAGCTGGAGAAGAATGTGTGTATGCTGGAAATGATGGATTTAGTTACTTTTCAGTGGAAGAGACTTGAACATGTTTATAGCTAAAAAAGAAGATAATAGCAAGGGAAAGGGTGAAAATTGGACAACAGAGGGAGTAATCCAAGCAGCAGAGTCCGGGGGAGGCTAGAGGAAATAAGATAAAGAGCCTGTATTAAGGAATCAACTTTGAACAAGCCAAAGGGGACTAGGGAACTCGAAGGAAAGTCGAGACCAGTAGAGTAAGCAAAAAGAAAATTGAGGCTATTCACAATAATAACCACGGTTTTCCTAGGGACAGAGAGTGGGTGGCAGGAGAGTAAATGAAGAAAAACATAGTAGTTTGGAATTTCAATGACGAACAGAAGAGGGAGCTGATCAGAGATGTGCACAAGTATTTCTAAATAATCCTAGAGACTCCTTTGGTTGGAGACCATGGATTAGCAGTGGTTCCAGTTTAGAGGATGAGAGGTTTCCTCCAGGAGCTCCCACCAGGCCTGGATGTGGTTAACAGAGAAGGCAGGTGATGGGATCATCTAAGGTTGGAGATTAGCAAAGCAGATGCTACGAACACATATATGCTGAGGATATTAGAGGGTTGGTAAGAAAATGGCTAAACCTGCTGTGGTGGACAATACAGGGATGTTCACTCAACACCAATTCCCAGCCTTCTTCTCCCTTGTCTTCCTCTCCTAGTGAGACTGGAAAGCTAAATACTTTACTTCCCAGTTTTTATTTCAGCTGAAGTTGACCTCATGATCCAGTTCTGACCTCATAATCCAGTTTTTATCCAATGATAAAAACCAAAGGCAGCTCTTGCTTTCTTGATAAAAAAGACCAGATGTGGACAGTGTGGCCATTTTTCACTTCCTTCCACTTCCTGCCCTGAATGTGGAGCAGTCCTAGAGGTACAGCAGCTATCTGTTAAGTGTGAGGCAACACACACGAGAATCAAAGCCAACAAGCTAAGGGTGGTGGGGAGGAAAGAAGGAAAGTACCTGGACCCATGATGATGTTACAGAGCATGTTATAGGTTGAACTGTGTCCCTCAAAATTCATACATTGAAGTCCTAATTCCCAGTACCTCACAAAGTGACTTTATTTAAAGATAGGGATTTTACAGAGGTAAGTTAAAACGAGGTCAGTAGGGTGAGCCTTAATCCAAAATGCCTGGTGTTCTCATAAAAAGAGAAACAGCACATGAAGATGAAAGGTGAAATCAGGAGCTGCTTCTACGAAGTCAAAGAATGCCAAAGATTGCCTGCAAACCACCAGAAAATAGGAGAGAGACATGGAACAGATTCTTCCTCACAAACCTCAGGAAAAACCCACCCTGCTGTCACCTTGATCTTGGATTTCTGGCCTCCAAAACTGTTAGTCAATGAATTTCTATTAAGTCACTCAGTTTGCAGTACTTTGCTATGGCAGCCCTAGAAAATGAATACAGAGTGCCTAAAATCCCTGTGGTAACCTTCTACCTCTAAATTCTCTATTGCATGAGAAAAGTAAGCACCTACTTATTTAAACTAAACCACTGGTTGAATTTTCTCTTTCCTATAGTGGAATGCAATCTTAACTAAGAAATGTAGAAGGGGAAGAAAATTGTCATAAAGGGAGGTGAAAACTGGGATGAAATGGTTGAGTCAAGGATTTCAATAAGGTCAAAGACGGAGTATGTATTTGGAGGTTAGAGTAAAATAGACTTTAGAATTTCAGAAGTGGAACAGTTGCACAGAGCCAGATCATAGGTGTGCCCATGGGTATAGGTTTCTGCAGTCTAGATGATAGTTATGGAAGGTAAGGACATCAGGGAACAGTGAAGTCACAGTGGTGGACTAATGATGCCATGGATGCCAAAGTCATTCATCATGGGATTTGAGGAGATAACATGGAAAGACAGAGACCACAAAGAAAGACCAGGTGTTGAGTAGACGTGAACGACACCAAGGAAGGTGATAAAATCTGAAGATAGGAGCTTCAGGAGAGGGAAAGATTTTGCTCAAAGGATGAAAAGCAATGGTTTAGGAGTTATGATAGTCTGATAACTGGTAGAATTCTAACATCATCTCCAGGCTTCACGGTAGATGAAATATGGGAAATAGAATCCATCCAGCACAAGAAAGCTACAAATCAAATATAAGTTTGAACTTGAATGATAAATATACCCTAAAATGTTATCACCTGAATTAGTCAAATAATTAATGCCAAATAAAATTTAAGAGCTTAAATTATCTGAGAAAGTGAGTTTCAAATTTGGAAGTGGCTTTATAGGTGTTTAGTTCAATCTCATACCAGTGCAAGGGTCCTCATCCTTGAACTTCACTTCAAGTTGAAGGTATATCCATGGCCTCAGAGTTTTCCTTGATCATGTGCCTGTAAGTGAGGAAATAGAGAGAATGAATATTTAATGACACATTGTTCCAAATATGTTGATTCAGCAGATTATTTTTAAATACACCCTGTTTAAACTCTTTTTTTCCTTCAGATTCCAGTACAAAGAGGCCTTTTTCCAAAGAAAGAGCGCTTGTAACTATACACATACACTGACAAATTGCATACAGAAAGCCTCAGATAATATGTTAGAATATCAGAGTGCCAGCATTCCACAATTTGCAAAAGACAGTAATAAATACGTTAATTACACTCAATTTTTCAAAATCATTTCACTCCATTTTTTGAACTACTACCATTGTCCCTCAGGAGAAAAATAAAGAAAAAAATGACACCTCCAAAGTGATGTGCTTTTTCCCTGGTCTTCCAGAAATCTACCAGACCCAGAGCTGTAAAAAGAATAACATTCTCTTTGTATGGGGGAAAGCTATAGACTTATAACTCAACCAGTCTGAGCAAAGTACATTACTATTTTTTCTCCCCTCTCCCTCTTCTATTAAAAACTTCAAAGCAAAATGATCTGAAAAGTGCTTACTGATGGGAGGAGAGGCCTTTCTGGATTCAGCAATTTGTCAGGCTGACATTTACTACCTGATGCATACCAGCTCGCGAAATTTTGTGGAGAGCTAGACTGTGTGTGACAGACCCCTCTGGCTAGTAGTTGGAGAGCTTGTAAACACAGGTATGCATTTGGATTGGGTTTGTGAAGAATGAAAAATAAGTACTGATTAAGTGATGCAAATTATATGGTGGAGAAGCATAGCATACCTGAGGCTGTAAATGTCTCAATGTTTAATAAATGAGAAAGGCTCGCTGTAAAGGACTCCCAGGAATAACTAAGTTTGTGAAGCCCCCCTGACTCCCCTCGAAGTATAGAGAGTTACTGTGAGAAGGCAAATAGCTCTGTACACAGACAGTAATCAGTCTCTACAAAAAGTACATTTTCTTTTTCTGGGGTCGAAAAAATTAAATTATCCTAGAGGTGATATTGTTTCAGAAGTACGTGGCTCTTAAATGAAATAAAACTGCTGAGATATACAAAGCCACACAACTTTCTTTACTTTTCCATACTTGCACTTGGCTTACCAGGTCCCAATTTTCATTGCAAATAGAACTGCTTGATGATACTATTTCAACTTAATTCTTGGGGTTTACTACTCAGGCTCTTTGGGTTCATTTCTCTTCAATTCAGGGTTTACTCCCTCCCTTACTCCCAGCTGGCGTCTGGATTTAGGGAAATTGATATAGCATCCCTGAACTAGCTGGTGGGTATGTGGGATGCATTGAGTCTGTGTGCTGTCCTCTGTTCTAATAAAAAAAAAAAAAAAAACTGATTCTGACACTTGTTACAATGGTAAGGAAGATTTTATTCGACTGTTGAAGTAGGGGTTTGCAATAGGGAAGAGAAATTGGAGCCTACTGCCAATACAGCCAGGACAAGTGGAGACTTATAGCCAAGGGGCAGAATGAAGGGGTCAGTGGATAGAAGATTACTCCGACAAGATATCGAGGGGAGGCGAATTCTTGCTAAACTGACCTAACAAGATTCTTGCTAAAGGTGGGCCAGGGACTTATCCATAAAGGCAGGGGATGAGGAACTTGATCAGATGTCATAGGTGGGAGATGACTTAGCAGGACTCTTTGCTAAGACTCGGCCGGGCAAGCCAAAGACAGGACAGGACCAAGGTCAAGGCCAACTCTGCGGGCTTGGAGAAGCCTGAGTAAATTGTGAGTTGTGTTGAAACCGAGGTTTGTTATTCTTGGCACAGTTTTCTGCTTGAAGGTCGTACAAGAAGAGGTTAGAGATAGGAAAGCAGGTTAGTAAAACTACCTGCATAAAGATCACTGTGAAGCTATGAAACTGAATGAAATTGTCCTCAAACAGAGGGTAAAAGAAAAACTTTGTGGAACACTTTTATTTAAGGAGTAAATGGCAAAAGACAAGTTAGAAAGAGCAGCAGTGAGATAAAGATCACAGGAGCTATAGAAACCAGTGGAGAAGATCGTTCGGAGAGAGAAGACCAAATTGTAACTGTCCTTATAGTTCATTTCCTATCTTCTTAGGGACAGAGAAGATGAAATCAGGTCATTCGCTGAAATTGAGAGATAGTGTTGCTATGGACATCTAGGGGGGAAAAGTTTAAAAAAGGATAACAGAGGAATGAAAAAATTGCTAGACTGTAGGGAGGAGAAATTAGAGCATGAAGCTACAGGACATCAAAGGAGAATGCTTCTTGTTGACTCCCCTAAAGATCACCAGGAAAAGGTCTTTATCAAGTAAAGCTGAGTTTATTAGACTTCAGTAAGAGAGAAGAGCACCTTGATAGAGCATTAGTAGCATCTTGGAAGAGGGATGTCAAGTCAGAGGAGGATGCTTGTAGGATTTAGAACCTGACTGAATGATGTTTAGGCAGGTCTTGCCAACCACGAAGCTGGTTGGGCTTATGCAGAGTTATGACATCATAATTTTAGAGTAATGTGCACAGGGAGGCAAGGGTCTTGAAGGGAATCTTTTTTTTTTTTTTTTTTGCAGTACGCGGGCCTCTCACTGTTGTGGCCTCTCCCGTTGCAGAGCACAGGCTCTGGACACACAGGCTCAGCGGCCATGGCTCACGGGCCCAGCCACTCCGCGGCATGTGGGATCTTCCCGGACGGGGACACGAACCCGTGTCCCCTGCATCGGCAGGCAGACTCTCAACCACTGTGCCACCGGGGAAGCCCTTGAAAGGAATCTTGATGATCAACTTGTCAGTCACGTTTCTCAGGAGAAATAGTTTCCTGGAGCAAGAAGTTAAGTTATTTTGTGCTTGCTTTCAGTATTATTTAACATAGGGACAGGAAAGTCTACCCAGTTATTATTTAGCACAGAGACAGGACATCGTTTTAGTTTCAGCTCTCATTTCATAATTTTCTCTGGAGATAGCAAGCAAGGAGACAGAATAAAAGGGGAAATGTGGGATTATCCAGACCTGAGAACTGACAAGTTGTGTAAGCTCCTGGTGAGGGCGGTGGCACAGTCAAGCCTGTTAAAGAGAACATAGTCGAAATGGTGGATCATAGAGTAAGAAGGCAGGTCAAGACAGAAGAGGGTCCAAAGACTCGAAGAGGGAAAGGAGCAGAGGTTGAAATACACAGTAGATGCAATGAGAGTGAGGATTTGAAAAGGTTAAATGATAAGAGGGTGAACTGAGAAAGAATAACAACATAGTTTAAATATGAGGGGTGAAAAAATGATATCACACTTTTACTAATTACAAGTAATAGGTTTCCCTAATTGTACTAATATTTATATAGTAACCTGGAATAAATGGTTCTCTTGTCCTTTTCCCCAGTGTTCTGACTGATACATATATTCTCATACCTTAAAACCAGTTCAAATCTCTGTGAAGCTTTTCTCCTCTCCCAAGTGTCTCCTCTGGACCATCACACCACGTTCTGCCTAGGTCTCCGCAATGATTCCTCTCACAGTATGTTGTTTACACAAGTCAGGGAAGGGAAAACTATATTGCTTTTTAAAACCAAAACTGCCTGCAGCCACTTCTGCCTCTAAGTCAGTGGCAGATTTTAGCTATAGAGAGTCTTCTATTGAATAAAATATGTTCACAGGGTTTCCCTGGTGGCGCAGTGGTTGAGAGTCCGCCTGCCGATGCAGGGGACACGGGTTTGTGCCCCGGTCCGGTAAGATCCCACATGCCGCGGAGCGGCTGGGCCCGTGAGCCATGGCCGCTGAGCGTGCGCGTCCGGAGCCTGTGCTCCGCAACGGGAGAGGCCACAACAGTGAGAGGCCCGCGTACTGCAAAATAATAAATAAATAAAAAAATATGTTCACAGTCCATTGTGGCTGTGACCTCCAGAGTATGATTTGGAATGGTCTAGTGAAATTAAGAGAGAATGAAACTGCTTTGCATTTAAAATTAGCAGGAATTTGGGGAGGTTGGAGGCAAACAAGGGAAAAATGTAAGGGGACTAGAGAGAGCGTTAAGGAACAAGCCACCTCCATAAATAGGTGGCTGGTGGAGTGAAGTTGTCAGGTCCTGGTAGTGAACGTGGCCTAAGAGATTCTAAAAAGGGAGTAGGGTAGCATTCACATTCAGTTATCTTCTGTTTGGTTCTCTGTCACTCCATCACCCCAAACCTTTAATAAAGTTGCATGCAACTTTATTGCATTGCATGCAAGAATGCCTTATGTTTTGCAGGAAATTAAGGGAAAATGGCTAACTCCACATCTGGGTCTGTTCATGGCATAGAAAATAGAAAAGCCATGGAAGGCAGGACACAAGGAAAATCAAGTCATTGGAGTCTTCAGGAAATTAGAGTGAGGTGACCGTGAGAATATAAGCCCATGGAATCTAAAACAACAACAAACAACAACAAAACTTTGCCAGAGGTGATGGGCTTCCTCTGGGATGTGCAGTAAGTGTTTGAATATTTTTTCCTAAATATCCAAGGAAAGGGGACCCCAGTAGTCATCTGAGATGCATGTATGATTATATATACATTCTGCTTTTGACACAGAGTACGCGGTCAACATGGATTTGTTAAGTACATGGATAAAAATTCATGGATAAAAAACCAATTCTATTTTATTAGGGCAAGAAGATCAGATACTGTCTTGCTGGTGTGAGAAGGCATCAAAAAGTAGGAGAGCATATATTAAATTCCATCTTCAAAGACCGATAAAAGAAAAAAAAAAGACCGATAAAAGGAAAGTGGCTGTACTACCCTTGGAAAAATATGAATAATATTTACATGTCATGTACTACCCTTGAAAAATATGAATAATAAAGCTGGGAGAGTAACATGCAGTTACTAAGAGAAGGTAAAACATAAGGGGAAATGAAATCCTTACAAAAGATTAGAGGAGTGAGAAAGATTATCAGAAAGAAATAATGGCCAGGTTGACAAGCTTAACCTCAAAAGTACAGTGTGTTATTTATTCTTATGTCATCTCAGTAAGGCATACAATAGCAACACCTATACAA